CGAAATTACTGGATCCGAAAGGGCCAAAAAACGAAGGAGAAGTAATGAACATTCAGCAAAAGAAGGGGAAAAAGCAATCAATATTCAAGTTGTTGTGCGTTGCCGTGCAAGAATTGAACGTGAAGTTGCTGCAAATTCGCCAATTGTTGTCCAAGCTACTCCCCGTGAGATTAAAGTTTGGGCTAATCCTCAGGACATGATGCCGTATAAAACCTTTACCTTCGATAAGGTTTTTGGGGCGGACGCGGATCAGAGTCGAATATTCGATACCATAGTAGTTCCTATATTACATGAAGTTAAAGCTGGATATAACTGTACTTTGTTCGCATATGGACAAACTTCGACTGGCAAGACTTTCACAATGGAAGGAAAACTTGACCTCCATAATGGAAGTATTAGTCCTGATGCCGGTGTTATTCCACGCTCCCTATATTATATATTTGATACTTTGGAGGCTGAACAAGCTGATTTTTCGGTTAAAATATCTTATATTGAAATATACAATGAAGAGTTAAAAGACTTGCTTTCTTCAGATAGTGATAACCGACAATTAAAAATTCTGGATGATGCAAATAGAAAATGTGTCCTTCATGGCCACGAAGAAGTACTTATAAAAAGTGCCGAAGATGGAATAAATGTTCTGAAACAAGGCTCGATAAAACGTCAAGTTGCTCAGACAAATTATAATAAGAATTCTAGTCGATCCCACTCTGTATTCTGTATTACACTTCATATTAAAGAAACGATGCCTGATGGTGAGGACCTATTAAAAGTTGGGAAATTCAATTTAGTAGACTTGGCAGGGTCCGAAAACATTAGTCGAACTGGCGCTGAAAATCTTCGTGCGAAAGAAGCCGGAAAGATCAATAAGAGCTTGTTAACGTTGGGACGATGCATTAATAGTCTCAATGAACATAATCAACACATCCCATATAGGGAAAGCAAGTTAACACGTCTCCTGCAAGATTCACTTGGCGGTCATACAAAAACTTGCATAATTGCGACAATATCTCCAGCCAAATTAAGTTACGAGGAAACGATATCTACATTAGATTATGCTCAGCGTGCAAAGAATATTCTAAACAAACCCGTTGCAAATCAACGTGTCACTAAAAAAGCTTTGATCAAAGAATATATAGGTGAAATCGAGCGTTTGAGAGCTGATCTATTGGCTGCTCGAGAGAAGAATGGAATATACTTGTCGCAAGATACTTACCAAAATCTAGTGGATGAAAATCAAAGTCGAAAAGATGAAAATGAGGAATTGAAAAAGTTGAATGAAAGTCTAAAAGAACAAGCTGAAAGATTTGAACGAGAAAATTCTATTATTAATAGAAAACTTATGCGTCAAACTTCTATTAATACTCATCATCAAAAAGTGTTTCAAGAATTTCAGCAAATGATGCTATCTGTAACATCACAACTAGAATATAAATTTAATGAAATAAAGTCTGTACATATTGGATTTGGGGAATTGACATATAACAAGATGAAAGAATTTATGGAACGACGCGAAACTGAAGTTTCGGCTATTATTAAATGTATCGAAGAACGTATTGATCGATCTATACAGCAAAAAGATCAGATTATTCAAATATTTGATAACCAAGAACGGATCTCCATTAATTTGAGTGCTGAACTATTAAAATTCCGGGAAGAGACTCAAAAGCTTATGGATCAAAAAGGCCAGGAATTGCGAAATAGTGCATCTGCGACGTTCAATATGTTTCAGCATGAATTGTCCAATCAATTCGAAAAGATACGATCGTACCAAGTAAAACTCGGGGAAGATTTATCTTGCTTGATGAAAACCACGCAAGAACACATTGCGTCCCAAAATCATGCAATCACTTCTTTCCGTAGTTTCACTCGTGAAACATCCAATTCTCAAATAGATTGTATGATAGAACAAAAGCATCTTTTGACGCAGCTCGCAGAAGAAGACGTTTTGTTGAGAAAATCAATGGAGGAAGAAATTTTAGCAAATGTGCTAGAAACACTTAAAAAATATGGTGATGCACATTCGACGAAAATCA